TGTAATATCATATTTATCTGAATAAAAGCTAAGTGCCGGGGGCCTAAGTGGTCACCTTAATATTAAAAAAAAAAATAATAATAAATTTTAAATAAAATATATATTTGTATCTGTAACTAAAAATATAACTTGTGATCTATCTTGATTATACTATAATATATTTTTCTAATATAATTAGTTTTCTATATTAAGCTCCAAATATAAAATTTGTTATTAGTTATAAGAATGAAAAAAAAAGAATAAAGAAGAATAAAATAACACCTTTATTTTCTTGATTATTATAGAAGTTAACTATAATAATATATTAGTCTAACAAAAAAACAAAAAAACTTTTACATGCCACTATTGTTAAAGCCATTACTATATTATAAAATATAAAACAACAAGCATCTTTTAGAGACCAAATTCTTCTTGGGTTTATTTTGTATTGTATTTTAAACTTGCAAATAATAAAGAAATCAACTTTCTGAACTGTCAAAATGCAAGTCATAAATGAGTTTCCTTTTTAGAAACCCTTAAAATAAATGATTGAAAGTAGGTAACCGTTGCGATTTACTATGAAAATTGAGCCCATCATATGCATGTCGATCACTCAAATTTCATAGTAAAAAAACTTACCCCAGTGATCTGCGTGACAAATCATGTGACTAATACATTAATAATTAAAAAAAATTGCGCGTAAAACTGAAGCCAAGAAACCGTATTAAGGTTAGGGAGTATTAGTAAACTTTTATAAGGAACGTTTTTAATTAAGCCGCAGGAGGTAGTTTTCTAATTAAAATTTAGAGTTATTCTTGTTTTTTTTTCGTAAAAAAGTGGCTTCATTTCGATTTTTACGTTACAATTCGATTGACCAATATTACAGGGGATGAACAATTTTTTGTGGGAGAGTTAGAGGCGTTGTCTGCATAGAAGCTATAATCTGATAGCCTGTAGAGACGATAGTCATTGCCTTATTGTTTAGATGAATTATGACCTGTTGGACGACAGTCATAATTTATGATAGTAGAAAAGTGACCTGTCGGGACGACAGTCATGCTTGATTGTTTTTAGATGAATTATGGTAGTGGTTCGCCTGGTTCTGGATTAGTTAAGGGACGAGTTCACCCCCTGTCAAAAAATAGTTAAAAACGGTCCTACTCTAGTGGCTTAATGTATAAAACAATAGTGAACGAGTATTGTGTTTTAATTGTAATTACATGGATCGTATTGAATTCGTTCCAGTATTATAATCACATTTAGATCGACTTAAATTAGCCAATTAGACGACCTTGAGGTCACAATATTATAGGAAACTAGTTCTGAACTGTCCTTAATAAGTCTCTAAAAAGTCCAGTCCAGATTCGGTCCGAACCAGTTCATCGTGGACCATTTAACATGGCCTGTCGAACGACAGTCTTAATTTGCAGCCTGCTGCCACGAATAAATTTTCCCACAAATTCTGGTTTTTTTTCATCCTGCCCTCCGAAGCAGCCGTCAAAGTACTCATGGTAAAATAGTCCACCTTGTCAAACCCGTTCCTGTTAAAACCGATAACTTATCATATTTTTGCCATATTTGAAAAAAAAAGATCTATCAAGCTTGTTCCATAATTAATTTCCAATACCTGTCATTCCTGATATCTGTTAGTCCTAATACTCTGATTCCTGATTTTTTAAATGAGACATGAGCCCATTCTGTATTTATTTAAACCCACTTCGGGTACAAATGAGCCCATTTAAGTTCAAATGAATTTATTCCGCTTCATTAACCCAACCCAGGTTCAGATAAACCAAAATGGATTTAAATAAACCTAACTTTGGTTCATTTTGAACCTATTTTTGGTTTAGATGAATCAAATATGGGTTCAAATAAATCTATTTAAGCATAAAAATTTGCAATTTAATTGGTCCACTTACAATAGCCAATCATATGATATTTCTCAAATCTGACCTTTCAAAATCGGTACTGTACAAAACCTGTTCTCGAAAATCCCACCTCTCCAACATACCATTTCGCCGACAGCTATAACAGATACTTCGCCAACTAACGGCCATTGGATGGATCTTGAATTATAAGTAAAATTCTATTCGTTAATCACTGCGACGATCTCAACCCATTTGACATTGGGCGTGACCAATCATATGGCGTGGCGAATAAATAATTATTATGTAGTTTATATTTTAAATGCTTATTCGCCACCTCATGATTTGTATAGATAGTGTTGTTAATGGGTTGGGTTATAAACCAGTGGAATAAATCTAAAACCAAACCAATCTGGTTTAATTACTCTAGTTATAATCCAGTTTATACTCCAGTTTATACTCCAGAGCAATACTCTGGTTTATTATATTCCAGTTTGTACTCTAGTTTATGCTCTAGCTTATACTTCAGAGCAATACTCTAGTTTATGCTCGTTTAGAATAAAATTTTATAAAGACCAATATTATATCTCTGCAAACGAAGCTATAGGCTATTTCTTTTCTTTAAACATAAAGTTTAATTAATTGTATTATAACCAATTTCGATCTTTATTCTAGTTTAATAATTTAACAAACTAATTTAATAAACTGGTTTAATAAACTGGTTTAATAAGCTAGTTTAATAAACCGATTTAGTAAATTAGTTTAATAAATTGGTTTATTAAACTGGTTTAATAAATTTGTTTAACAAAATGGTTTAATAAAACCAGTTTAATAATCAGTTTAATACTCTAGTTTAATAAACTGGTTTTAAATACTCCAGTTTAACAAACTGGTTTATTATTTTGATTTACTTCAGTTTATTCTACCCAAGCTGGGTTAGAGTCAAACTGGAGTCACTTCGGAGTAATATACTCCATTTAACAACCCTAGGCATAGAGATTAACGAATAAAATATTACTTACAGGTTTTCCCTGTGCAGCACTCATATTTCACAAATTAGCTGGGAGATAAAAATGGCTAACAATAAAAAAAGGGTTTGATAGATTTCGCCGACAGCCATTTCACCAAAAAACTGCCTCTAGCTAATGCCAACTATTAAGCAAGCCAATCATAACCCTAAATCGGGCCATATTTGTCAACGAAATAGCTGTCGGCGAAATAGGTGTGGAATATACCAGTTTTGGCAGGATAGCATTAAGCGTAGGTTCTGCACTGTTAGTATGTATAACACGAAAAGTGGAAGCGACTGATACCTATAGTTGTTTTCCATTGGAACATCACTCGATGAGAGACAAATTGCATTAATCCAGGATGCATGTGCGATATTTCGAATCATTTTTATACCGAACGTAATATATTCGGTATAAGTAAATTTATTTGTTATTATAATAATAATTATTTATTATACAATTCATTTATTAATAGAGTTATATATCATATAA